GGGCAAAGTTGCATAAATGAATAGAAAAAGAGACGTGTCTTGTAGAGCTCTCTACCTGAGATGGAGAGGGGCGACAATCGGGGGGGAACCCTAGCAAGGCTTTTGCCTCGTCGGCCAGCATCTCAGCCGGGCAGCGGCAAGGAACGGATTTCAGATTAGGAAGATGAGGGAAACAGTGGAAGGGGAAATAGGGAATCCAACCACCAAAATTGGCAAGCAACAGGCGGCAGACTGCTGATGGATTCCTTACCGGAGTAACCAAAATTCCATTAACTTTAGCGTTTTATCTTACCGAGTACTCTCAGCCACTCAGGTATCAATGCATAATCTGTAGAATTTTGATTTTCCATCATTTTAATATATTTTGTCATTTTCAATTTTCTCCTTTCACTTTTCTTCCCTAAGACTTATTTTTTTGAGTTCAAAAAATTAATTCTTAACTCTTTTTAGTTTTTTCAATAACGATTTAAAAAATATATTTATATATGATTAATATAAAAATATTATATATCCAAATTTATAATATATCACCTCAAACACACACAATGATGATTTCCTTTAATTCAAAATTAAAATTTTCTTACATATTTATTTGGTTGATCATTTAATTGAATGATTTTTTAACACTTAAATTCTTTTAACATTTTTCAACTTCTTCTAATTTTTTTCTAAGTCAGTTTCTTCTAACTTCATCCATTTTCTTCAATATTCAACTCTGAAATTCCAACCCCAAAAAATATGGTCTAACTAAACATAAATAATTATTTTCCCTCTCATATTCTTTTCTTTTTTCTTTCATATTTCTTAAATCAAATATAGTGTTAGTATTAGTAAAATTCAAGGTTAAATATAAATTATATAAAAAAAGTTTAGAAAAAAAAGATATATTAAAATATTTTTTTAATCAAATTATTTAAAAAACAGGCACCTAATTTTTTTTTTGTGAAAGAAAACATGCACCTAATTATGAAATATTTCCACTAAATAGCGCTAAAACTTAAGTCATTTCTCTAAATAACACTTAAATTGTTTTATTTTCTAAATAAACTTAATAATGTTCATAATGTCCCGTAATGGTGAATATTAACTTGAATAATAACTAATACATAATTAAGGACTAAAAATATTACATTGGAAAGTGATTATGTTTCAAGGGATTTTCTACAATGCCTTCCCAAATAAAGAGCATGGATGCCCCTCCACCCAATTGGCGCCATGTAGATTGCTACGTGGATTGATAGAGCATTAACTATCACTTTAGGTTTGATAAATTGCAAAACGGTCCTCTCTCTATGTTATGTTACTTCTCTTTTATGGAGTACGGAGTATTATTTTACCCGTCAAAAATTTATTCACTCAATTCATTTTTCGGTCAGGTTCCAGTGACACCGGAAAACGGTGTCACTTCGGTGCCACTGGGTTTTTGGGGCACTTCCGGTACTCCGTTCGTAAAATTGACGGTTCCTATCCTTCCTAACCCACCCCCTAAACCCTCCACCCTACCCCCACCCCTGCACCCCCACCCCAACCACGCCGTAAGCCCCCACAAAATGTGTGGCTATTATGCATTGTATAATAGCCACACATTTTGTGGGGGTTATAGCGGGGTTGAGGTGGGGGTAGGGTGGGGGGTTTTGGGGGTGGATTAGGGGGGTAGGAACCGTCAATTTTACGAACGGAACACCGGAGGTGCCCAAAAACCCAGTGGCACCGGAGTGGCACCGTTTTCCGGTGTCACTGGAACCGGACAGTTCATTTTTTAATAACTTCTACTCCCTACGTCCCTAAATAAATTTTCTTTTTTGAGTTTTTTAGTATTTAAGGAAAAGATATTTTGTGTTGATTTTTCAAAAACACTCTTGATGTGATGTGTAAAATTAAGATGTGATATTTAGATTATTAGTAAAAAGGTATGATGTGATAGGTAAGGTATAAAAAACAAGGGCTAAAAGATGTTTTTTAAGGGAAAAGAGAAATTTATTTAGGGACAAAGAAAAAACTTAAGGAGAAATTTATTTGGGGACGAAGAGAGTACTATTTTAGTCCCTGTGTATTTTTTTAGTTCGATTTTTTTGACTCAAATAAGATAAACTTTAAGTTTAATTTGAATTACTCTCAATTTGTATTGCATATTTGTACAATAAAATAAAATTTTTGAAAATTCTCATTAAAATAAATCTAAGAAAAATCATTTATACTAATATCATTAGAGTATATAAAATCATTCCAGGGCTATAACCATAAACTTAAACTTTTGGTTGAATTGATTCTCTCATATCGTATCAAAGTCTTAATGACTAAGAGGTCAGGAGTTTATTTGAAACTCACCGCTACCTAGCTAGTTTTAAAAAAATTAAAGTTTCACATGCAAGACTCAAAAAAGTCATGTCTGTACGTGAGGGGCGTGTTAGAGTTTATAAAACTATTTATGGGCCACAACTAAAAGTTTGAATTTTTTGTTGAATTGGTTCCCTAACAAACATACATTAAATTTTTTTTATATAAATCTCAATGTTCATCATGCTTGACTCCAAAAAGTCAAAATAGACAAATAAACTATGTAGAATGAAATAAATACTCCCTCCGTCCCGTGAAACATGGGACATTTGCTTTTTAGGAGGGATTTAAGGGAGTGTATTTTGGTATTGAATTTCCAAAAATGTCATTTGATGTAATGAGTAAAAGTATGATTTGATGGATAGATTATTAGTAAAAAGGTATGATGTGATAGTTAGAGTATGAAAAAGTAAGGGGTAAAATTGACTTTTTAATAGAAATGAGAAGTGTTTTGTGAGACGGATAAAAAAAGAAAGGGGAAATGTTTCACGGGACGGAGGGAGTACTTGTTTGAATATTTTCATTTATCATTTGATAAGATAAAATATTCTTGTCACATCTTATTTTGTTGAACTTTTTATATAGTTTTGAACAATGTTACTTTTTATATAACAATTTGCGAATAAAGTAATTTTAAAAAAGATGAGATTTTGTACGCTGCTCAAAATGAGAAGATAAAAATGGATGGAGCGAGTAAATTTTCTTAGAAATAATTACATGAATAGTCCAAAAAAATTCGTAAGTATACGTTAGTACACCAAAATTCAATAAATTACACTACAACTCCTAAAAATTCTACTTGTTACAATGTTAAGTGGTGGGTACCAACCCAGCTAAATACTACGTACGTAGTACATTAGATTTTAAATGTTAACTGAAAAAGAAAAAAATGAACAAATACTTAGGGACAAATGTCTAATTAACATTTTAAACATCACGTATTTAGTTCAGTTGGCAGCGGCTGGATAAAAATGTGAATATGTACTACTTCTGTTCCCGTGTAATTGTCCAGTTCTAACTTTTTGCAGCCAACTATTTTAAACCTTTGGCCTAAAATTAAATAAAATATATATGAAATATTAATAAGATAAAATTATATTATGAAAATAGATTAGAAAATAAATTTGGCAAAATTATTATTGTATCAATGTCTAATACTCTTTTAATTATGGTCAAAGTATACCAATTTTGATCGAGAAAAGTAAAAAATAGACAAATACTCAGAAACGAATTTAGTAGAATTTTTGGATTTCGTTGGTTAAATTTTAGAGTACTAATGTACAATCACAATTTTTTTGAAGTATTCATGTAATTGTTTCTAAAAAAATATTTAAAAAAATCACAGTACTAAAAAAATTAATACCCCATAAAAAGAAGTAAATTAACATTAATGATTTTACAATCAAGTAATTAAAGGACAAAGTGAGGCAGGGCCATTTTGTATTTTCACAAAGTTAAGTGATACTCCGTATGAAATTATTTTTAATTATTTCGGGTAACTGGCCATCCATATGGCAGCAATTGAGTTGGGGGCATTAATGCCCTGTATTTGCAAAGGTACGTAGAAAATCCCATGTTTTAATGCTATTTAAATAAAAGAGGAATTTATTTAAATTCCTCCCTAATTATTGGAGGGCAGGAGCAAATCCTTCCACCCTAAAAACAGGTTGTGGTTTCCCGCGTTGGTTGCTCCTTTCATCGCGCCCACCCAATCGTCCCGCCCTATATAAACTACCCAATCCTTCCTCCTTCAAATCCCCACTGCTCATCGCCATCTTTCTCTTAGCTTCTTCGATCGGTGCAGCAGTACTGCATACATATACATATATATATATATATCCATTAGGAGTAATAATAAATAATAAAACGCGGCATTAATTATCAGTAGTAGCTACCTCAGATCCATCCATCCATCGGGAGAAAGATGGCGGCCGCCAATAAGATTGTGCTGCCCCTAGTGTCCCTCGTCCTAGTCGTCGGGATCGTCTGCGGGGCCGTTCTCGTCTTCCACAGGAACGGCTCCCACGACGATTCCTCATCCTCATCCTCCTCCTCATCATCTGGGGATGTCGCCTCGGGGTCTATGAAGTCCGTGACAACTTTCTGCCAGTACGCCGAATACAAGGATTCCTGCGCCAAGAGCCTCTCCGCCGTGGCCAACAACCAATCCGCCACCACCAAGGACTTCATCCTTGCCATCCTCCAGTCCACCATCGACGAGGCCACCAAGTCCCACCAGGTCGCCCTCAACACCAAGGTCGACCAGGGTGCGGACCCCTACGACCACGTCGCCGTGGAGGACTGCAAGGAAATGCTCCAGGACGCCGTGGCAGACCTCCAGGCCTCCTTCTCCATGGTCGGCGACAGCGAGCTCCACACCCTCGGCGACCGGGCTGACGAGCTGCTCAACTGGCTGTCTGCGGTCTACGCCTACCAGACCACCTGCATCGAGCAGCTCGAGAAGCCGGAGTACAAATCCGCCATCGAGAGCGGGATGGTCAACGCCACCCAGCTCACCAACAACGCCATCAACATCATCGCCGAGATGTCCAAGGTCCTCGAGGCGTTCAACGTCACCGCCGCCGCTGCCGACATGCTGAAAACCAAGGCCACCGACCTCACCTCCCGCCACCTCCTCGAATCCACGGAAGACGGCCACGCCAGCGGAGACTACCCGACGTGGTTCCCTTCTGCCTACAGGAGGCTTCTCGCGGCGCAGAAGGCAGGGCAGGTCACCCCTCACGCGGTGGTGGCGAAGGACGGGAGCGGCAAGTTCAAGACAGTGTCCGCGGCCCTGAGCGCGTACCCGCCGAAGCACCAGGGCAAATACATCATCCACGTCAAGGCGGGCGTGTACGACGAGACGGTGCTGGTGGACAAGAAGATGGTGAACGTGTTCATGTACGGGGACGGGGCCGGGAAGACGATCATAACGGGGAAGAAGAACTTCGCCAAGGACAAGATCACCACCTCGAAGACGGCGACCTTCACGGCCCAGGGGAGCGGGTTCGTGGCGCGGGGGATCACCTTCCGGAACACGGCGGGAGCGGAGGGGCACCAGGCGGTGGCGCTGAGGAGCCAGTCTGACATGTCGGCGTTCTTCGACTGCTCGATCGAGGGGTACCAAGACACGCTGTACTACCACACCTACCGCCAGTTCTACCGGAACTGCGTCATCTCCGGGACCATAGACTTCATCTTCGGGAAGGGGACGGCCCTGATCCAGAACAGCGTCATCATCGCGAGGAGGCCGCTGGCGAACCAGTTCAACACCATCACGGCGGACGGGAAGGAGCTGGCGAAGGCGAAGGGGGGGCTGGTGCTGCAGAACTGCAGGATCGTGGCGGAGGCGGCGCTGTTCCCGACGAGGTTCCAGCTGAAGACGTACCTGGGGAGGCCGTGGAAGGCGTTCTCGACGACGGTGGTGATGGAGAGCGAGGTGGGAGACGTGGTGAGCCCCGACGGGTGGAAGATTTGGGACGGGGAGAAGTTCGAGAACACGTGCGTGTACTACGAGCACGGGAACTTCGGGCCCGGGGCGGACACCAGGAGGAGGAACAGGGCGTTCAAGAAGTGGCAGGTCATTGATCGGAGGATGGCCGGGCAGTTCACCGCCGGTCCTTGGCTCGATGGACACACCTGGTTGCGCTCCACCGGGGTGCCCTTCGCCCTCACCTTCACCCGATAATAGATGCATGCATCTCATATATATTTAGTATGGGACCATATGTTATGTTTACTCCCTCTATGTATTAAGAAGAAAAAAAAGAGAGGAACTAATGAATATACTAACTAATTGTTTTTAATTATTTCAAAAAAAAAGAGCAAAGAAATGCAAATATTTCATTCATTTGGTGCATGGAATTCAAGATTATTGTTTGCTTGGGTTCACAAAGATTTTATACTTGTAAAACAATAATACTAGCACATTTAACTCGTGAAAATAAACATACGTTTATAATTAGTTTTCGTCATTAAAATTTTATCTAAAACATTAATGTTAATAAAAATGCTGTTTTCAAACGACGTTAATGTTACACAAATTTTTAATGTTCACTTTTAAAGTACAAAGATGAGTTTATGGGGGAATTGTTGTCCCCACCTATCTATATCTCTTGCTTTTTTTAATTTTTTTTTATGATTGCTTATTTTTAAATATATTTTATTTAACTTAACAAAAGAAAACAATATTTTAATTAATATAATTAAATATAAAAATTTATTTGATTTATTTTACTTAAATGTGAATATTTTGTTAAAGTTGTTATTGTAATTTGTAAGTTTATTGTTATAGGAATAAATATAAAATGATTTGTAAATTTTATGTTCTAACATGGCAAAATTAGAGTTATTTTTTTGGAATTACTATTAGAATCACTCTTAATTTACAGTATTTTTCTAAATATTAAAAAAATGATTTTTTAATTGAAAAATGAAATTTACACCATATTATACTAAAACAAAACATATGTCCTTTTTTCAATATGGTACTTAATTTTTTTTAAAATACCGGGAGTAATATTTAAATAATATGCTCACTCCTATATAGACAATGTAAAATATTTAGTTAACCATTCCGATTAAGAAACTACTCCTTACTCCCTACCGTAAAATATAAAGTCTACGGTTGGTCAATGAGCTGAGCCGCAGAAGGCTGCAACCCGAGTTCCTCTGGTAGCACCCGCTCCAGAATCTCTACCCGTACAAAAATAAAATCGTTCTCTCTATCTCTGACTGCGGAAGATGATAACGATGATGAGGAATCAGGTTCGGAGTAGGGGAGTTTGGCGGAGAAGCCAAATATTCCGATTTTGCGAGTGGCTTATCCCAAATAAGGATTTTAAATATGGAAGATCGCCGGCGGACTATGTCAATCCACAACGCCTTGCAACAGCAACCCATTCCCTGCCAATTCTCACTCGCTTCTTCTCTACTACCACTGGTTCGATCTTATCTGCTCCGCCCTCTTTTTTGCCCTAATCTTCATCACATTTGAATCAAAATGAAGCTCACATGGTCCCCCCTTAATGAC